GGAGAGGAAGGGGAGAAGGAGGGGGAGAAAAGACCAAATAAAGAACTCTCCTAGCTGCCTCTACCAGAGAGAAAAAGGGGCTGGAAGGAACTAGAAAAAGGTGCTAAAAGGTATGAAACTTCTTTTCAAGGTGACGAAGATGATTTAGAACTGATTGTGGGGGCTGGAGAGATGGCTCAGTGGTTAATAGCACTGGCTGCTCTTGCAGAGGACCCAGGTTCAGTTCCTAGCATCCACATGGCAGCTGACAACCATTTATAACTCCAGTTCCAGGGGAATCCAACACCATCTTCTGGTCTCTGTGGGCATTGCACAACACAGGTGCACTTACATACATGCAGGCAATACACTCTTACACATAAAATGAAAATAATAAATAAGCGGGGCGTGGTGGTGCATGCCTTTAATCCCAGCACTCGGGAGGCAGAGGCTGGCAGAGCTCTGTGAGTTCAAGGCCAGCCTCGTCTACATAGTGGTTCCAGGACAGCTGGGGCTACAGGGAGACCCTGTCTCAAAAAGACCAAAAAATAAATAAATTAATTAATTAATTAAAAAATAAATAAAATAATTTTTAAAAATCCATTGTGGTAATGGTTGCATAAATCTTTGTGAAATCACTGTATTGTGTGCTTGAGTTGGGTGGAATGGATGTAAGTTGTATCTTAACAAAGCACATAAGCCTGGTGAGCACACATTCAGCCAGTGAAGAACAGTTCTTCCAAGGTGGTAGGCAGTGCCCCTCATCATAGACTCCAACACATTGTGTTCCCCCAGCTCTGCCCCCAGTCCACTCCACACTCACATGACTCCAGGGTGGAAGTAGCTGTGGAAACAGTCAGATTCTTGACCCTGTGACTCCCGGTGCTGCACAATCTGGTCACCTAGCACCTCTTGCAGGAGCTGCAGAAAGGCGACTGCAGCTCCCTGAGCCTCCATGCTGGCATCCTTCCCAATCCAGTAGTGCAGGTTGCTGGACCCTCCCTGGGTGTCCTTTATGTTTGGGGGAACCTAGGGTCCAGGTTGTATATGTACGGGGGAGGGGCTGGGTACCAAGGTCTGGATAGAGAGTGACATGGAGGGTGATCAAGGAGCAAGGGCAAGCACATCATGGGCAAGAGGCCATGGAGGGGAGTGGGGACTCTGAAGCCTCAAGGAGACAGCCCCTCGTGGATGGGATGGGGTGCTGAGGCTTTTGACTTTCATCTCCTCAGGACAGAGCCTATGTCTAGGCCGAGGACTCTAACTCTGGGCCATATCACCTCTCAGAAAGACTCCCCAGGACTCACACGGAGGATGACGTAGCAGTGTTCCTCAAAGAAGTTCCCATGAGCCCTTTCAGGCACCGGCAGCATCTTCAGGTTCTAAGAGCAGAGGTTGCCATGTGACATCTTGGAGACTGCCAACTATGACTTCCAGGAGATAGAGCAGAGGAGGGAGTCCACATGGGAGAAGGGAGAGGCTGGTGACACTCTTTCACATCACCAGCTGTGCTGTCAGGTCATGCCTCTCACCTCAATGATCCATATGTGGAGGGCTCTCTGGTGGTCGATGGCTGGTAGGTCCAGATTGATGTCCATCATAGGCTAGGCAGGAATGATAGAGAATGCAAGGTTGGAGGCCAACCCCTGGCCACCTGCATGGCTGTAAGCAAGAATTCTCCCCTACCTAAGCTCTCCGAAGCACCTTCATTGTAGAATGTAACACTCACTAGGAGAGCTCTATAAACACATGAACTTCAGCAAACCAGGATGGTCACTACGAATGGGCATACAGGGGCCTGGTTTGTCTGTGGGCATGCTCCTACAATAGGCTGAGCACTCTGCTCTCAGCTAACAGCAACCTCTGTAAGACAAGGAGTTGGTAACAGACCACAAAGGGCTGGAGATGTAGCTCAGTAGGTAGGGTGCTTGCCTAGCATGCATGAAGCCAAGTTTGATCCTCAGCATTGCATGAACCTGGTGTGGTGTTACATGCCTGTGATTCCAGAACTCAGGAGGTGGAGGCAGGATCATCAGAAATTAAAGATCATATATATA